GCTACTAATTCTGTTATATGATGTGCTATTTGGTTTTGCCATATTGTTTTGAGACCTACAATATTTTTATGTGATAATACTGTATTTGCGACAGTTTTGGCCATGCCCACTTTGTTTTTGGTTAAGCTGAAAATAGGGCTCTGAAGTTGGTTGCATATCTCCTTTGGTAGGATACAGTGTTGCAATCTGTATTCGATTCTCGGCAAAAGAACTTTATTGTTTATATAGACTAGGTGTGCTATAGACACCTTCTTCTTTTTAAGCATATTGACTACAGTGCTTATTTTTTTTTTGATTAGATTTATTGCTGCTTTTCTTTCTGCCTTTGCTGTGAGCCAGACCTCTAGAAATCTTGTTGTCTCTTTTTCTTTTTTGATTGGGACTTTCTCTGCTCCATTTTTAAGTTCCAAGAAGTCATCTTCACCCTTGCTTCTATTTACTACCATTAGTTCTGACTTTTTAGTATTGATCTCAATGTCGTTGATTCTTTAGAAGCTTTTTGCGATTGCTAAGATTTTTTTAAGGTCTTCTTTGGACTTGGTGATATATGTCATATTATCTACGTAGGCAATTACTTCTACTCCTTTTTTTTGCCTCTCTATCTCATTTGTTTTTAGATTCATTGGCCATTCAACCTGGATTTCATATCTTGCTTCCTTTTCTTTCTTTATTGCCACTAGTAGAGGGTCATAAAAGATTTTCCACACTAACGGAGATATTACCTCTTCTTGGTCGATTCCGTTTTGTGCTTGGAAACGATCTGTTGGCCCATAATTTGTTAGAATCTCCATTTCTCTTTTTTTGTATAAGTCTAAAATGAAACTTCTTGTCGTTTCTGGGATTTTTATTCTTTTGAGTGCTATGTCTAATATTTGGAGGCTTACTGAATCAAATGCTTTTTTCATGTCTTGAAAAAAGAGCCAGATCTCTTTTTTCTTTTCTTTAGTATCTTCTAGAATATAATTTAGTAGATGTATTAGTGTAGCTGTTCCTTCTTCAGGTAATCCTGCGAAATTTCGTCCTTTAAGGACTTCTTTTTTTTTTAGTATCTGGCCAAGTCTATTGTTTACTATTCTCACTACCAATTTTTGAAAAGTCTCCAGGAGTAGAATAGGTCTGACATTATTGAGCTTGTATTCCCATTCTTCTTTCTTTGGAATCGGGTAAAGCATTCCAATTTTCCACTTCTTGGGGATTTTACCTGTCTCTATACATGCTGAGGCCAGACCAATAAAGATACTTTTTGCAAATTTTCCTACATTTTTAAGCAGAGGGTAAGGTATTCCAGATATTCCTGGGGCGGAGCTGTTTTTGGTTTGGTTTAAAGCTGTCTCCCATTCTTCTTGTTTTACAGAACTGGTTAGATCCTCGTACTATTCTTCTTTAACTTCTTTGATTGGCTTATATTCTTTTCTCCAAAAAGATGGGAGTCTGTCTACTTTTGTATTTCTTTCTCTGAATTGTTTTTGGAAGTGGTCTTTGACTGCATTAAGCACTTCTTGAGGCTTGTGTATTAGCTCCTCTTCTGTGTTTTCCCTCTCTACTACTACTCTGTCTAGTTTTAGCTTATTAAGTAGTTTTTCTAATAGGCTAGTAATCATTTTTCTTTGGTCGTTTACTATTATCGCATGCCTTTTTTCAATATGTTCTTGTATTTCTTTTTCCTCTGCTTTTCTCTTTTTTGATTGCTATATTTTGTAAAGGCTCTTCCACCATATCTCAAGCTCTCTTCTATCATTCGTTTCTTCTTGGCAATCTTGTGTATCTGCTTCAGACTGATCTTCTATATATTTGTCTTTTAATACTGCTAGCTATTCTCTTGCTTCCTTGCTCACCTTCTCTTCATATGAGTTTGTTGTATCCTCAAAATGTGAGGGTTTTTTGAGCTTACGATACCATTTTTCTGTTACTCTTATATCTTTCCTCAAATCCTTCAACTCCTCATTTTCAATTTGGTGGTCTTGAAGTTCAGGTGTCTTTTCT